CTTTAAAACCCCTTACGGAGTCCATGTACATCTTGAATAGTCTCCTCGACTGTTTTAAGGAGACCCAGCTGTGCTTCCCTCCTCGGGACTGGCGCTGCAGATGGAAAATTCTGAAGAAGAGAGGTATAGTCGCCCCGATCCTCAGAAAATGACATGTCAGCTCAAACGCCCGGATAAAGGCGAGCGAGTTTGGGTGTAGCTGCGACGGGGCCAGCCCCAGATGGGCGATGACCCCGTTCTGAAAGTCACTGAAGGGCAGCTGCAGCCTAAGATCTTTGAACGCAATTTTGTACATGGGAAAACTATACTCGGGGTACACCGAGCAGATCCGGGCAGTGGAGGTCGGTCGCGTAACGACGAAATTCTTTTGAAAATCAGGTTGACTGTGGCCCGCCTCAAGGACAGCATATGGCTTTCGGTTACGCCGGCTATAGATCGACGCGATTCCTCTGGGCTCGGCGCCCACCCAGTCCAACAGAGGGTCGTCGACAGTGTCGATCAAACTCACTGCCTCATCGGCACTTTGTTCCTCCCGTTCGGGGCGTCCAGAAGAGCACGGCTCGTCCGCCATGGCTACCTGCAGAGCACGGGAAACCAGTCAATTGGGCACGAAACCATACGCTCGAAGTAACGGACTAGATGTAGCGCGCGACAAACCACGTCGCTCCACGCGCGACCATAAGTTAAGTTTGAAACAAAATAGCAGTCGCCTCCCCGACGTCCGGATAACTCGACGAGACCTTCTCCAAGCCGCTTAAGCAAACCGACGACGCGATCACTCTCCAATATGCCGACCCAAGGTATGAACATGGCGAGCAACATCATAAAACCTACGGCCAGAGCCATGAACATACCGGGCACGATCATGAATCAGGCGCCCTGGATCATGAAGACCCCGGGCAGCACTGCAGATTGTAACCTAAACTTTGTATCTACCGGCCACGAGCATGTGTTTGTCGGTCCTAAGCATGAATTTGTCGAGCTAAACATGAATATACCGGGCTAGTCCCACGCGCACAGTCCCTAAAACGTATACAATGGTGAAAATCATGCATCACAACAGGAAAACGAAGAAGATAAGTCACTTACTTGCAATCAAGGAGTGAGTTCTGCAACGGAGGAAAGGAATCTGTGACGGGAATCGCAGCTATGCTATGAAAATCTAGAAGAACAGCAGCAGTAGGAGCGCAAAGAGTAGTAACGCGTTATGGGGCCCAAGGATCCTATTTATAGTGATGACGTGGAATACCAAACGTCACCTCGGGCAACCACGGAGTTTCTCTCCTCGACGCACGGCTCCCAAGGCAATGATGACCCTATCATCATAGAGTGGTGGCACAGTTCCCAAAAGATACCCCGTGTGCTCGACAGACGCGCGCCGGTGAGGATTCCCCGAGCATCCACCACGAAGGATTTGTCTCCGAGCACGACACGGAGAAGCCCTCGAGGAGCTGCATCTCTGACCCGGGCGCGAGACCCCGAAACGGAAACAATCTGAGATCAAGCCATGGCTCCTAACCCAAGGAACCACGACTTAGGGGGGATCCTGTTCTGGACTGGGCCCGACAGGCCCAATAGCATTGATAAGGCCTAATCCAAACGGACTTGTTGAGGGCCACGCCGACCAAAGGGTCACAGTCGTGCCCGACGTGCTCCCTAAGGTTACTTGCTCGACCTCCAACTGTCCAGCTCGTCATCCTGCTGTCCAGCTCGTCATCATGCTGTCCAGCTCGACATCACCTCGAGCACCCCAACTAGGGCAGACTCAGTCCACTGCACTCCCAACGAGACCCCGAAAAGACCGCGTCTCTGTCCGCCCGCACTTCACGCAGAACATCCAGGGAGGGGACCACGTACGGGTCCCCACTACACGCGTAGAACCTGGCAGTTCCTCCATTGGGCTAAACCTGCCCGGCCCAATGAAGGAACCTTGGCCCAACGCTGGGGGCTATAAATACCCTCTGTTTCCAGAGGGTCAGGTATTCATCATTCTACCCATACTTACCATTGCCTGCTCGTGCTCTTACTTACTTCAGCATCGGAGTGTCTTGCAGGTACCCCCCCCCCACCTCGTTTAAAACTTTCAGCTCGGAGCCAGCCGTGACGGTCCAAGTCTGATCAGGTTAGATAAAAAATGAATATTGAGGTTAACATACGGGATAAAAAATGTATTTTTCCTAAAATTCACTGTTAGATTGAAATGTATTGTCGATTATACCATGCATATAAAATTTATAAATCATTTGATTGTTATAATTAACAATAATAATTAATGATCATTAGTGTGTTTCAAAATGACAATGGTACTTTTAAAGTGAAGAATTTGAAAATAGACAATATTTTGGAAGTTATTGCATTTGACGGTTTGTATTTTAAATTTAAAAATATGCAACATTTTGTGAAGTGACGCATAATGCAAGGCAGTACAATTTTTTAAAATTGTTGATGTAGAAACAATGCAACGTTTTAAAGTGTTGTTGTAGGAGAAATAATACAACATTTAACAAAAGTGTGGTTGAAAGTGTGTGTTTCATCCAGTGTCGCAGCATTATTAAACAACACTAGTTTGACCTATAAATTGAGCATTTTGAATTTAGAAAATATATCAGAAAAGCCTATCTTCTTCGCCAAAATTTTAAACATTTTTTGATGCATTCGAGTTTTCGCCAGTCTTACGCAAATTCAATAAAATACTGAATTAATACAAACTAAAGTGTCGCACTAACCCTAGTCATCACTTCAATCATATCAGTCTATGTCGTATAGTTTTCATGATCTATTGCTACTTACCTAAGACATCTCTAGATCCGGGTGTAGGATCTTACAAGCAATAATAAACCCAAGCAACCCTTAAATTTAAAGCAAACAAAGTAGACAATTGAAGCAAGTAAAAGTGATCTAAACTCTAAGGTAGCCCCTCTTTTTTAAGTATCCCCAGCAGAGTTGCTAGTTCTATAATATGGTGGGAGAACTGATTTTTTTAGTTTTATCCAAATGTGTGGATAACAAGAGTCGCCACTGATTTTTCTTTTATCAAATATTTAGGAAAATATGAAAAGAACAGGAAAGACCTTGATAGATTTTGAGTTCTGGGGGTAAGTTATGAAAAGGAAAGGTGTTAGCACTCTTTTTATCCGTAGTTATCTACGGGCTCTTAATTGCTAGCTCACTTTTGAAAATTTTCTTTGTGTGTGTGATTTGTTTGAAAATATTTTGAAAATCCAAAGTACAACCAACTTTGTAATGATTCTTGAAAGTTGTGAGCAAGCGATTAAGAGTTCCTTACCAACTAAAGGTCGTTCTTATTCTTTTCCTTCTCCTTTAGAGATGGTGTTATATGTACCATGAGTTGGTAGGTAACCCCATCTACTGAATGTGAAGGGACATGCGAAGGATCGTCGAATTGTCATAGAAGGCAACATGTAGAGATAATTTAACAATTTGTATCGGAGGGACTATATAATTTTTTGTAGGCAACTCCGAAGGGTCATCGAGGGACTATGATCTTTATTCGTAAGGGTCTTTTGCTAAAGCATCCCTACTTTCGAGGGACATGACCATTATTTCCGAAGGCAACAAAGAGAGGTTATCCTAGAGGTGCAAAGTGTGCAGAGGTGATTCAGTTCAATTATATTATCTTGAATTAGGGTTTTCTATTAATTGATTTTATTCTTACCATACAAACCCTAATTACTAGCAGTCAAATATGTACAGAAAATTAAAGGTGCAGAAAGTAAACCCTATGTTATTACAAGGCTTTAGGGCAGTTACATAAGTATATAAGTGTGGTAAAATAAATCTATACTATTACAAAAAAAACTCGTGCGACCTATACAATTGTTTCTAGGAATTTAAATGCAAAAGAAAATAAAAAAAGTTAGAAAAAAGAAGTTTGAATGTTTTTTTAATGTTTTTTTAGAAAATAATTTGATGTTAATTAAATAATTAAAACCCTAAATATAATTAATTTTAATTGATAAAAATATTAATTAATTTAATTAATTAAAAAAAATTAGCTAAAAAACCTAAACCTAATTTGTTATGTTTTTTTTGAAAAAATAAATTAAAGTTAATAAAAAAATTAAGAAAAGAATGAAATTAGGGTTAGTAAATAGGGTTAGGAAAATAATGAGAAAAAAATGTCTTAAGTGGGTGTTGAACCCACGCCCCCTAGGGTACCAGTGCACCTGCTTTATCCCTGAGCCATTGTTGCTATGGTGTTTAGGAATGGGAATCAATCAAGATATGATAACCTGCACGTTAGTTTGTAAAATAAGCAAACAATAATGTAAAAGGCCAAGATCAAACCCATGTCCTTCGTAATACATGCACACTTGCTTGTCAACTGAGCTATGTTGTTCATCTGTTGTTAAACACAAATAAATAATTATATAATAAAAAGAATTTTGGTCATAAAATCATAAAATCATGAAGTATCTTGAATCAATTTGTCTTGAAAAATGGGAGGGAAAATTTTGGGGTACAACAATAATGTTAGGTCTGTGATTTTATGATTGACAACAATTTTGATAAAATATATTTCCTTTGGTAAAACATGTATCACAACCAGATGTTGAGTAAGATGTCATGATATTTTGACCAACTATCACACAATTACTGTTGTTGCTTCTAGAAGGTTATGATTTTAATTTTTGTGAGATTCCATATGAATATATTTCACATACTTACGCATGCCCAAAATGATATACCTGGAACAAGTGATTTTTATCTTCAACTGTACATTAGTTTCTAAAATTAGATGTTGAGACAATTTAGGAAATTTATGATATCTTTGTTCCATAATTCAAGGAGATTTTTCTGCATAATTGGCGTAACCCTCAACTTTTGGATCAACAACAAATTGGATAAAGATTTTGAAGCCCATGGACTACTAAGGGGTTTATAAAGAAAAACCTAAACCTAAAGTTAAAGAGAAATTAAGAAAAAAAAGGGGAACTTGATATTCAAGAGTCTTAGAGTTTGAGCACTACAAGAAAATCATGTTTTTGGTTCCAGAAGTTAGCGTCGTTCCCGACTCCGACGCTAGTAGTGTTACTATTTTGACCATCAAAATCGACGCTAATAGCAAAAAATCATGTTTTAGATTTATTATTATGTTCTAAATTATTGCAAAAAATCATATATAAAGTGATTGTCTCTTTCGTCACTAATATTCCTAGTGACAAATTTTTATTTCCCTCCTATATATATTTCGTTTGCCTCCATTTTTATAGAGAAAATAATTATTTATTTTTTAATTTAGTATCGGCCATAACCAACACAACACTTTTTTGGTATTTATTTAATAATAGTGACGCCGCCAGCCGACGCTAGTATTGGTGCTAAAAGTTTTTATTTCTCTCCTACAGTTTTCGTTTGTCTCTTTTTTATTATTGTTAAAGATTGAATTTAAGTCTTTTGTTTTAGTGTCGGTCGATGTTAATATTGGTGCGAAAAGTTTTGACTTCCCCATTTAATTTCATTTGCCTCCTTTTTTTTTAATTATAATTAATATTTATAATTAATAACATAAAATATAATTACAACTAAACTAATATAATTAAACTAAATAAATTTAAAACTATAAATTAATATACTATCAGTTAAAAAAATCAAATAAATCTAAATTCAAAAATAAAGACATAAATTAATAAATTAAATGTAAAATTCAAAATTATAAAATAAATAAAACCATCTTGATAAATTAATAAGGTGCAAATACCCTCCACATTCAGAAATCCAAACAACCACCACAATACCCTCCGCAACCCATTTTCTTTGTGCAAATACCTTCCACATTCCACGGTGCTTTATCCATTCCTTTATTCTACGATTCAAGGGTAAGTTTGTTTCCAATCTTCGATGAAAGGGTAACAGCTAACTTCATCTAATTTCTCTCAATCACAACTCTTTAACACCTCTCAATCTTTGCGGTTTGTGACATTTAAGTTTCATCAGGTTTGTTTAGTTTTATGATTTAGGGTTTCATCGATTTAGGTTTTCATCCCGTTTTAGGTTTCATCGATTTAGGTTTTTATCCCGTTTTTGGTGTCATATTGTCTTAGTTTCGTGACAGCAACAGTTGGCAGAAGATCCGAAAAGAACGGGTATGCCATCTATTCCTGACAATCTTTAGTGAGAATTGATTTTTTGACAAATGTGTTTCTGAATAACTCTGTTTTTTATTCAGAAATGAAGTTGAGGGTCGGTGAACTTCATAACCTTTCGCTCTTTTTTCCTGTAAGTCAATTCTATAAGGAAATTTATGAATAACTCTGTTTTTTGTTTAGTGAGAATTGCAAATGTTGCTGATTAAAGTTTGTTTTGTTGTCTTTTGAATTTTGCTGTCATTGTTCACTTCTGTTATATGCAACAACATTGCTCATAGATTGTTGTTGCTGTTGATGACATATGGTTATCTCTTATGAGTATTATAACTTAGGAAATTCAAATAAAATTCAATTCTGTAAAACTTATAAATCAACAAAAAAATTCACACAATTCCTCCAGCATTCAATAAGAGGACTGTAAGTTGAATGTAGTATAGAGAGAGTAAACTATATAAGTAAAGAAAAGGATGCAAAGGCATGTTTGAAACTATGAAAAAGAGAATTCAACACAATTCTGAATAGGAAATTTTGTCATCCATTGCCTCTAATAATAATCATATCAATAGATTTAGATCTGATATGATCTAAATACACAAATGTTGATCATCCTAGTGAAAATTTTAACTATACTTCACCATGCCAAATTTAAATAATTCAAGGCAAGAAAAGTGCCACTTAGAATTGAATTCTAAACACAAAAGGTAGTAAGCTGACTGTATAAATATAAATATGACTGAGAGTGAAACAAAACAATATTGGTGTTTTCCATTCTTTGTTTCTTTTTATCTTCACTCTTAATGTTGATGACATATAACTGGAACATGATTTTTAGGTCTATTCCTATGTATCAATCCATACGGTAGAATTCTCGTTGAGCCGAATCAATTCACTATGTTTTGAATAGGGGTGTGCATGGTTACCAAATTTTAAGAACCAATCCATTTTAATGGTTCTAGTTTTAAAATTAAACCATTTTTTATAATAACCAATTTAAAATTGCAAAGTGGTTTCAATTCGGTTCAAAACCGATTTAAACCGGTTTTCAATCAAAATTGATTTATAAGGAAATTGTATCTTAATTTGAAGAGACGAAAAAAATTCAGGTTAATGAAGGGAACAAGATGCAAAGGCATGTGTCATTTTTATACTATTATATTCAAACACCAGCACAAATTGTTTTTCATAATTTTTTTGAAAAGCAAAAAAGTAAAATTTAATTTAAGAGTAAAAACATTACACTTTAATCTATGATAAAGTTGCACCAGAAGACTAAAACTAGAACCCAAAAAAACTAAAACAAAACATCCTAAAACCAAGACAAAATCTGCTTCAAAACAATTGCTACACTATAACAGTTAAACAAAAAAATACAGATTAACAATCGTTCATCACAATTAACTTAATAAGTTCTTCTTCCCTTAACTAATCACCACTCTAATTAACTAATTAATAATAAATAAAATAAAATATATAAACTAGTTTTTCATTTTCAATTTGAATATTATATAAATTGGTTTACACGAATTTGAATTTACTGTGCCTTAATAATATCTTATTTATTAATAATAATATCATATACATTTGGTTTTATGTATGACAACTGGTTATCAAAAATAGAAATCAAATTTTTGTTTTGATATCAAAATGGATCTGGAGCGGTTCACATCCAACACAAATTGGATTATAAAAATTGGTGCACTGAATTTTTAAAATTGATTCGTGTAAACCAGTTTTTTTGCACACCCCTAGTTTTGAATGATTGTTTCATAAGAAGTAGAATTGCAGCTACTGAATTTTGTGTTTTAACTTTTTATGAGGTTTATCCAAACGTGTTGTTCCATTTTTTCTAATAAGCAATAATCCATTTTTGTTTGACACTACTGACATCTTGTTTATTGATGTTCTTCAATTTGCAGATCGAAACATTCTCAAACTTATTCACCTTCCCTTGTTCAGTTTAACAAGCTTCTATATATTTGTTGAGGTAAGACTGTTTTTTGTTACTACTATTTTACATTTACGTTACTAAGTACTGGAATAGTAATTATATATATAAAGTTTCATTGGTAATCATACTTTTCAAGTAAACTTAACACATGCTTTTTTCTCTCTGTTTTTTTAGTAATCTTTATGTGTGCCACTTACTTTGCAAAACTTGGTTATATGTGTTAATTCTGATTTGAGTTATCGTTGTGGGTTTTGTAAATAATTATGTATGATTATCATTTTGAATGTTTCTCTGATCTGAAAAAACTTCCTTAATTTCATGCATTTTGAATGTTGCATTCTGAGTTTACATTATGTTTGGTTATGAATTGTTTTTCGAATAACTCCGTTCATCCTCTATAGTTGCTCTCAATTTAAACCTATGATATGTGTTTACATTCTGTTCTAGTGGTGATTTAATTTTATTGTTTCAGTTTCATTTGTTGTTTATATGTTTAAATCTATGAACAATGTCTTTTGTTCATCTCAATAAATTAGGTGAATAGGACCATGTAGATATAGAACAAATGCAACACAGTTAGAATTCAGTTATATTATTGACATATGATCGAACCCAAAAATGGATAGCTAGATATAGTTAGCAAACTAACCATTCTATTCTTATACTATGTGTAGATTTGCACTAACCATAGAAGTCAATTGAACAAATGAAGATTATCAACTTATGTTTGCTTTTTATGTAGAAAATGGATCGAAGTTGGATGTATGATAGAATTGAAAGAAGGATTTGTTAGTGGAGTTAAAGATTTTGTCAATAAAGTCATGAATCAACCAAAATTTTTAAACAAGGGAGGTATAAGGTGTCCTTGTGTAAATTGTGTCTGCATTCCATTGAAGACGCCTAGTGATGTTAGACATCACTTGTACAAAGATGATTTTCCCCAACTATTATACATGGACCGATCATGGATAAGAGAATCAGAATGTAGATGTTGATGGTCATTCTAGTAGTGGCGGGAATGTTGGTGGGGATAATATGGGGGATGAAGAGCAATTTGATGCATAGAATGAAATGGTCTATGATGCTAGTAGGCAATTTGTTAATGTCCCCAATGTGAATGCTAATATGGAAAATGAAACTGTTAGTGAGGGCGGGGTACCAAATGAACAAGCTCAATGATTTTATGATGTATTGACTAGGGGTGTTCGTGGTCCGGTTTGGATCGGTTTTGAGACAAAATATCATCCGATCCAAAAATATATAAAGCATACGGTTTGGTTCGGTTTTTGGATGACAACAAGAAAAATCCAATCCAATCCAATCCAATCCAATTTATACGGTTTACTTCGGTTTGGTTGAATCGGTTTTATTCGGTTTTTAAACCAACACTATTTAGAAATTTAGAAAGAATATATTTCAATACCAGTTACAATTATGCCACCAACGTCTACTGAGACAATATCTAATTGTTATGTTCATATGGCTATTTGATGACTCATTATTGCAAAGTTTTATTATAATATACGTATAATATCTATCTATCCCAACGAAATAGACATGATTATAATATATAATATATATGTAGATATGCTTAGTTCTTATATGGAGATTTGTATTATAAATTAAATATATGACAAATATATAAAACAGTGAACAAATGAAGATTCCAAAGCTATATTAAAGCGAATATAATAATAAAACTTCAAGAAAAATATCAATAACAGTGGACATGCGAAAGTTGCATCACAAGGAATATATAATAATAATATGACAAACTGCATTATATATAGAGAGAAGATCTGCTTTATATATGACAGCATAATTGATAGTTTCAAAATCAGAGCCTGCAACATAATTGATAGTCAAATAACAAATTTTTTAATTATCCTGCAATAGCTCCACTCCAGCTTCACAATTCTACCCAATTCTTTTAGAATGCGGATATCAACAGCTAATCAGAGTCTATATCAGATACACCTTCATTCAATTGAGGGATTGGAGCAAGTTCTACAAAAATAAAGATAAATATTACTCAATATAAAAGATTAACAATGCTCAACAAAAAATAATATAAGTTATAAGTAAATTACCTAATTCCAAATTTTCTAACTCATCCACAAGCTCTTCAATATCCATCGACACCGGGGAAGATTTACACCAATTTTGTGTACAAATTAAAGCTTCAACTGTTTTTGGCGTAAGAGAGCTTCTATAACAAGTAAGCACTCTTCCTCCGGTAGAGAAAGCGGACTCTGAAGCTACAGTAGACACATGCATGACCAATATATATCTAGCCATTTGATCAAGAATAGGATACTTGTTAGAATTCACCTTCCACCAGTTCAAGATATCAAAACCAGGACCTTTCTTCTCCAAATTCTCCATGAGATACAAATCCAATTCATTTTTCTGCATGCTCTCATTAAGATTCATGTCCATCTCAACCTCTAAAGCAAATGCATCCTCTGGTGCTTTAAGTTCTACCAATTCCACTTCTTGAGTGGAATGCGTAAGATTTTCAGTTTGACCGTTACCAAGGAAAAGCCTATAACTCTCAAATATTTTATTTAATGTCTCCTCTGTTTTTTTGTACAAAGATACAACAACATCATTTGTATATGCCCTGTTCAATCCCCACCTAACAAACTGCATCTTATGTCGAGGATCAAGCACAACAGCAACAAAGATCAACATATTCATTTTTTCAACCTTACCCAAATATTTATCATACTTAACTTTCATATTTTCAGCCATAATTCCAAGCAAGTTGTCAGAACTTTTTAATTCTATCCACCCGTTTAATGTAGTCAATATCTTAATATGTTCATTAAAATATTAAGAAGAGGTCACAAAAGTACTACCTGAAACCTTCTTTGTGATATCAAAAAATATTTTCAAAAAATTAACAAAGCATTTTGCATTATCCCAATCCTCTTTATTAGGAATACCATCTTTCATCAGCACAAAATCAACACACTTCTCACTCAATCTCTTAAATGCCTTTTGAAACTTCAATGCACTTTCAAGCATAGTATATGTGGAATTCCACCTAGTAGAAACATCCAACTGAACAATTGATTTTTCTTGTAACCTAACTTCTTTAATGCAAGTTTTAAACCTATCCATACGACCTAGAGATGCACGAACATATCTA